CATGATTGTGAGGCCTTCCCAGCCTTGTGGAACTGTGAGTCCATTAAACCTCCTTCCTTTGTAAATTACCCAGTCTCAGGTGTGTTTTTATTAGCAGTATGAGAATGGACTAATACAGGCTGCGATTTTACCATTCCACCAGCAAGCATCAAGCTTCCTGTTTCTTCACATCCTCACCAATAGTTGTTATTATATGGAACAGAACTGTTTTGAATGAAAATACAAACTCATTAAAACAGAAGAATTCCAATTAGATTATGCTATACGTGTTTAAGGTGGCCCATATATCAGTCACGTGGTGTTAGAACTTAAAGCCAAATGCCACTTTTTAGCTCTGTGTACAAAACAGCTCATTGGAGTCTAATGATCTTATCATTAATGTTCACCAGATGGTTGGGAAAGGCAGGTTTTCTTTTATGTCTAATTGAGAGAGGTAAAGGGAGAAATGATTATGTGTGTAGTGCTGTTGAAAGTTAAATCTATTTCTGGCATACAATTAAACATAATTGAAATAGGACAAATTGAATAACAAAATTAAATTTACAAACTAGGATATGAATGGAAATTATTATATGTGTGCTGCTTTGAGGATATTTGGGTGGTGTGTTGGCATTAGGGCCAGAGCCCCAAATTTGTACAGATTTGGCATGATTCCCACCTGCACCGGCTTGCCTCCTGTACTTCGCTATGTTGGCATATCAAAGGAGTTCACCAGGCATTCTCCAGCCAGCACCCTGCTCAGAGAGGGTGTCTTTTCTTTTCTTTCCTTTTCTTTTCTGAAGCACTGGAATTTAATGTAGTTAAAAAGGAAAATAGATTCTTTCTAAGATTCAGACTTGCTTTTAATGAATCCAGGAGACCTGACAATGATATTTTACGAAAAACAAAAATAAAAATCTGACAGTACTCCCCAACTTGGGTTGAGTGTGTCTCTGTGCATAAGAGGCATTGCCTTTGTCTTTGTGGCCTGACCTCTGCCCACACCATCAGCTTCAGCTGCTACCACTGTCTGAGTACTGAAGTGTGTGTAGTTCCCTGAGGGCACACGCTGTGACACTCCTGCATTCTCTGCTACTGTTTAGTCCCTTTGCTGGAGTACCTTTCTCTCTCTGCAGGACTCAGTGTAGGCACCACCTCCCCCCAGAAGCGTTACAGATCCCCCAAGGTTCTGCTAGGTCCCAGACATGGTATTAATCTGGGCGCTTTGTTTACCATGCTGAACAAAAGCAGAAAAAGTCCCTGGTCTAGTGGAGCTTCTATTTTATCTGAGAGAGAGACTAAACAAGAAATGCAAAATGTCATCTACCTTGCATAGTAGAAGGTGACAGGTCTAGGAAATACAAAGATAGTTAAGCAGAGTAATAATGAGAACGGGAAACGTAGGGGATGGGAAAGGCGGAATGCTACACTCAGTAAGGTCAGTGAGTGGGCTTCACCTTCTAGACAGCCTTAAAAAGGATGAGGGGATCTGTGATATGGCTAAATCTAGGGAGAGAGCTTTCCAGGAAGAGCAAATAGCCAGCCACAGAGATTACTTTATTGTGACAGCCTCCATGTTAAACCAATAAAATTCCATCCATAAAGGAAGTTGAAAAGTTGGTTTTCCAAAGTGTCCTTTATGTAGACAAATATATATATATATATTTCCATTTCAATTTTTGAAATCTAAAAAAAGTTCCAAGACAAATCTCTCCTTTGCCCTCTTCCCTCCCTATACCCTTACACAATACACATTTTGTGGACTATTAATGGTTTAGAATTCCTAGTCAGAAATTACTGTACACCTAAGTTGCATGGATCTTATTGTCTTCTTTCTCCACCATAAACTCTGGATTCGTCTGTAAAATACATGCCCCATGATAGTTTTATATTTCCAGAGGGCCAGTTCTGCATCTGCCCTTCCTTCTCTGAGTCATATGCCTTTATGTCCCATCTTCTTTCAGTTTTTAATTTTCTTCCACATTATTGCCTATTGGTGTTTTCTGGTTGATCTTTTGTGCTAAATTCTAAATACCATGTGTGAATTCTTCCTCCTGTTTGATAAACCAGAATGAAGAGGTGTTATAAGGTCTGCACCTTCTCTTCAGCGGCTTGCATTAATTCTGTACATTCCTGGGACTTCCCCTTCCTCAAGAAGAAATCTAGCACAGCCCTTGCACAGCATTTTAAGAATTGTTACTGCTCCTGGTTGGGCGTGGTGGTGCACACCTGTAATTCCAGCACTTGGGAGGCTGAGGCAGGTGGATCACTCAAGGTTAAGAATTCGAGACCAGCCTGGCCAACCATGTTGGTTTTACCAACATGGTAAAACCTCACCTCTACTAAAAATACAAAAATTAGTGTAATCCCAGCTACTCGGGAGGCTGAGGCAGGAGAATTGCTTGAACCTGGGAGGTGGAGGTTGCAGTGAGCCAAGATCACGTCACTGCACTCCAGCCTGGGCAACATAGTGAGACCCTATCCCCCTCCCCCCGAAAAAAAAAAGAATCTTTACTGCTCCCACATTTACTGATTAGATTTTGGTTTGGGAGATACTCTGAACCGCTAAAATTTTTAAAAAATAATTCTGCTATATTACCTGTTTTTCACTGCTATTTTTTAAGTAAAATGATTTTTCCTATCATTATTATATATTTTTAGGTGATTTTGGAAGTAAATGCTAGAGATATTTTTATTCCTCCAGAGCTTCTTGCTCTAACAACATAATAATCTAAGTTAAAAGAACTGGCTCAAGATGTATAAATGTTATTTTTTTGGATTAAAAATATATTTTTCCCATTTCTCTTGCATCTCTTTTTATTTCCATATATTAGGCACTGTAAATGCCAGATGTATATAATCTTTTTTTTTTTTTAATTTCCTGGAATGTCACATCCTGCAACTTCTTCACAAGCTGCGTTTGTTAAATAGCAGATGATGGAAGGTTTGTCGCCCGCCCGCCCCCACACCCACCAACATAGTCATTTAATGCTCATCAGTGATAATTGCTGTGCGAATTCAGTTGATTTGTGCTTACTTCACTGTCAGTCTTTGGTTTTACGAAATCGAGGAAGGACATACAAATGTACCTATGCATTTTAGAGAAAGCTTTATTTTATCCCATATCCTGTGTTACATCACTATATCTTAACTGCAGATTTTTTGGTTTACTTTGTCCTTTTATTTTAAACTTTTTTATCAAAGTGATAATTGTATAGTTTAAAAGTCAAGGCAGTGGCTCACGCTTGTAATCCCAGCACTTTGGGAGGCTGAGGTGGGTGGATCACCTGAGGTCAGGAGTTCAAGACCAGCCTGGCCAACATGGAGAAACCCTGTCTCTACTAAAAAAACAAAAAAACAAAAAACAAAAAATTAGCAGGGCACGGTGGCACATGCCTGTAATCCCAGCTACTCAGGAGGCTGAG